TTATTTATTTATTTATTTATTTATTTATTTATTTATTTATTTATTTATTTATTTATTTATTAATTTATTAATACATAATAAATAATTAATAGATATAACCATTTAAATAAAAGAGAATAAATAGATAAAGAAGAATAAATATATAAAATAAATAAATAAATAATATATAAATAAATAAATAAATAAATAAATAAATAAATAAATAAATAAAATGGCTCTCCCTCCTGTACTAGACGAAGAAAATTTATATAAATTTAGGACAAAAATATGTGAGAGATTTCTTAAGCAAGGAAAATGTGAATTTGCTGACAAGTAAGTAAGAAAAATAAATAAATAAATAAATAAATAAATAAATAAATAAATAAATAAATATAATAAATAAATAAATATAAATAAATAATTATTTTATTTATTCGTTTTTTTTTTAAATAAGGAAAATGTAAATTTGCTTATATGTAGGAAGGAGACAATATTTTATTTATTTTATTTATTTATTTATTTATTTATTTATTTATATATTTATTTATTTACTTGTTTATTTAATTATTTATTACTGTTTTTTTTTTTGCCTATCTGTCTCCTTGTCTGTCTCCTTATATCTGTCTCTCTCCTTGTGTATATGTATATATGTATATATATACATATATACATATACAGATACGTAAATCCATAAATATAAATAAATAAATAAATAAAATAAATAAAATAAATAAATAAAATAAATAAATAAATAAATAAATAAATAAATATTTTTGTGTATACAGGTGTCAATATAGTCATGATTTACGTTGGACTCGTCGTCCTCCATGGAAATATTCATACTTACCTTTTTTATGTAAAGAATTAGTATATATAAATAATAATAATAATAATATAAATAATAATATAAATAATATAAATAATAATAATAATATAAATAAAAAAATAAATAAAAAAAAAATAATAAATAATTATTTATGTAAATATAAAAGAAATTGTAAATATTCACATACAAAAGAAGAACTTATTTATCATCCTAAGATCTATAAAACGGTATATTTATTTATTTATTTATTTATTTATTTATTTATTTATATTTATTTATTTATATTTATTTTATTTATTTGTTTATTTATTTGGCCTTTTTTTTTGGTGTATTTATTGATGTATATATATGTATATATATATGTATATATGTATATATGTATATATACATATATATATGTATATGTATATATGTAAGTATATGTAAGTATATATATGTATATGTATATATGTACGTATATATACAGTATGATAGTGTTACAATCTAACAACAGCAACAAATGCTGCTGCTGCACTTGCTGCTGCTGCTGCTGCTTGCGCAGCAGCAGCAGCAGCAGAATCTGGCAGTATATATGTATATATATGTATATGTATATATATGTATATGTATACATATGTATATGTATATATATGTATATGCACAGTAAGACAGTGTTATCTGTTTATATGAGTACAGTATAACACCAACTGCTGTTGCTGCACTTGCTGCTGCTGCTGCTGCAGTTGCTGCTGCATTTGGTGCTGCACCTGTTGCTACCCTTGGTGATGCACTTGCTGCTGCATTTGCTGCTAGCCTTACTTCTACCCTTACTGCACTTGCTTCTGCTGCTTCTGCTTCTGCTGCTGCTGCACTTGCTGCTGCTGCTGTTGCACTTGCTGCTGCTGTTGCTGCACTTGCTGCTGCTGCTGCTGTTGCTGCTGCTGCTGCTGCTGCTGCTGCTGCAGGTATATTGTCATCAATATGTATTGAATGGATGGTGTTGTCGTTATTATTGTCCATTTGTTCATCAACAAGAAGAACTAAGAATACATGAATTAAATAATAATTTAAATATAAATAATAATATAAATAATAATATAAATAATATAAATAATAATATAAATAATAATAATATAAATAATAATAATAATAATAATAAGGATATAAATAATAATAATAATAATAATAATAAGGATATAAATAAAGAAAAGAATGATTATATTAATTTATATAATTTATTAAATAATACAAATCATCAAGATGAATTATGTCCAGATATTTATCTAGTATGTTTATTTATTTATTTATTTATTTATTTATTTATTTATTTATTTATTTATTTATTTATTTA